CTTGTTGAAAGAGCGTACATGTCTATATGTAGGCTTTTGGCCATCATAACTCCCCACCAGAGTCTGATCTTTACATGAATGTGACATGTTCCTTTCGTTTACGAACAAAACAACATTGTGGCATGGACTAGAAAAATCCAGAATGGACGAGGTTTTGCACCTGAAATACATAGGCCACAACGTTGAAATGTTCTGCTTAAAGGCATTTCTGCGACTTGATATGCGAACAGTGTAATTCCAACTTCTAAAACTGTCACATAAGGTGGATACTCAACTACAAATAAAACAAAATCTTCATTCTAATCACACAAGTAGATGCTCACATAATCACACAACATGACCGTTTCTTCACCTTCTTCGGGACGTCGTCGTGCTGCTGCCACGGCCAACTGTCGGGCAAATGTTTGTTTTCTTCGACAAACTCGGGGTCGAACTCCATTTCACTTTCATCTTCACTTCCGCCGGCCGTTCTCAGTTCCGACGCGTCGTCCTGAGTGGCATCGACGGTCGCATCCTTGCTCTTCTTCTTATGCTTCTTCTCATTCTTCTTCACATTCTTCTTCACATTCTTCTTCCTCGCCATGCCCTCTCTCTTCAAATATTCCCGGGATTCATCCTTCTCTTTATTTCTGGCATTCAAAATATGCTCGACTTCTCTGAACTTGATCATTCCGTTCTTCATACTCTCAAAATGTCGGGCGTTTTCCACCGTCAGCATTCCCTGAAAATAATGGATAGATGCGGCTTGAGATCGAGTGCATTCTACTCACAACATCTGCGTAGTGATAAACAAGCATGTTGCCGTAGGCCAGTTGAATCTCCTTCTCGATAGCCATCGCACGAGAATCACGCACTTGTCTTAACACAGCCGCCGGGTCCATACATCCGTTGTTGGCCAGTGTTTGATAAGCGACTTCGGCGTCTGCAATTCGTCCCAGTTGGACGTGTCAGAAGACCAACAATAACAAAACGACTCACAGACAAAAGTGCCGGTACGTCCGACTCCGGCGGAACAGTGAACAACGATTGCTTCCAGGCTCTTGCGAATCTGCTTTAGTATGAAGATGTTGCCATCATATTCTCTTGGCACCGAATGGTCAGGCCACTCAATGTGTTGGAAGTGCGTCACGTTGAACGCGGACAGCCCTCTGAACGAGTAGAATAGGAACAAATGTTTCCAAGGGGGGCCAAGTCCAACTCACTCAAACTCGGCACTCAGTTTCCTCACGATGACTTCCCTGTTGGGCGTCGTCTTCTCCGCGCACGTCACCTTCAGCCTATCAAACTGCAAGATCTGGCCCTGCTCTTCCGGAAAGTACTGAGCACACTTTTCTAATTGTACTGTTTGGCCATCTCGTTCCACTGCAATAATGAGTTTCGAGGTGGGAACGTTTCGCGGCGAGCACAAACCAGTCTCGACTGTCTTGCACAACATGACAATGAACTCGGTCCGCTCCTCTTTCATCATCCACCACGCTTTCTCAATTGTCGACCGTTTCCTGGACTCGATGTCCGCCGCCAGAGGCCCTTGCATCATGATGAACTGCAGCTGGTTGGGGCAGGTGAGCCGATTCGCGTGCATGTACTCGCTTCCGCGATGACTGTTCCACTCTGGCCATCCCTTTGCGAACACTCTCGATCTCGGCATCAGGAAAATGGTGGCTCTGAAATGCAAAAGACTATTGTATGAGAACAGCGATCACAAGTGGCTCACCGCGTCTCTTCACTGATGAGGGCTTCCAGATCGGGACAAATTCGCGTGAACGTTTCTACAAATTCGAACACTTGGCAATAAAATTCAATGAAGCCAGAATTGAAAGTGGAGCCCGCCAGGCACTTTTTTACATCCATCCGTTGGTAAACGTTCTTGTAATAACAGTACATGTCGGTGATGTGCGCGTTCATAGCAGCTTCCATTTCGGGCACCATGTTTTCTGCAATTGTTTATCAATTTCTTTCCAGAAAACGTTCAACGTACCTTGCGCTGGATTAACCTCTCTTTCATTTTTCTCATTTTCAGAGCACATTGCCCAGCAATGTTCACATGCACACGCGGCGAGTAAGATGATAACAAACACAACAATCACTCGAAAAACGACGGAGCCGCCGTGCTCGCCGCAACAGCAATCACCCTCAAAGTGTTGTTCTGCAAAGCAGACATCGATTGTTGCGATTGAGACGGTGCGAGTTTCCGGCTGTACTTGGCAAAGAAGTCGTCCAGAGCAACCAACGAAGCGTCGACCTTGTCGAAAGACGGTTGAGCAGTTATAATCTCCTTCAGCTTCGTCTTGACGTCCGGATCAGTCACATTTCGTTCCAATTTGGTCACACTCGCAATCAAAGCCTTCAAATCCGTCTGGACACTGATCGACGTGGTGGATGGAAACAGATTCGCGCGCTTCTTCAAAGCAGTGGATCCACTCGTTTTGATGCTGATCTTCCACTTTGACAGTTCGGTGAACAATCCGGCAAAGAGCGGTTTAATTGAGGCAATCGACTTCAACGTGTTCTCATCTTCCTTGGTGAACGGTTTCCGATCCAATGTCATCTTGGCCTTGACAACTTCATAGTTTTTGGTGATTTCGTCAATCAATAATTTCTTATCCAACAGCGTGCTCATTCGCATGACTGCTCGAGTGGATGCTCCGATGACTGCGGAATGCGTGTGCGAGTCTTCGAAGAGCGTCAGAGCATCGGCCTCGTCGCTTCTGAACTTTTTCATCTTCTCCAGAATCTCTTTGACGGCTGCCAGTTGGTCCGCGGTGCTGACGACTTTCTTCGCGATTTGTTGTCCTTGGTTCGCTGGAGACGATGCTTGGCTCGTTCTCAGATTTCTCGTTTTCTCAAGCGATTTGACCACCGAATCGGATAACCTCACATTCTGGAGACACGTGAAGAAATTTCCGTACCCTTTCAGAGAATTCTTCGTAGTTTCTACGACAGTGAAGTTACCAACAATTTTTTGAGCTGCTGTTTTTATATCTCCTTTGCTTTTTTCTGCTTTCAAAGGCGCCAGAAGTAGATCTACATCTTCAACCAACTTCTTCATATTGTCCAGATCTTTATAGTTCTTGAATTTCTCAACGACGCTCTTTAGTTCCTCCGGTTTTTCTTTGGCTTCTTTGCACATTGCACTGATGTCCTTGAACATTTGCAGTCCGCTCGTCAATTAATCAGTCACATTCCTCACCGCCGTGCGTAAAGTGGTCATAGTCGCATCAAGTGATTCCACATTGGCTCGGAGACTGGAAATATCGACAACTTGTACTGATTGTGGAGCGAAGGCGGTTCGGCAAGTGTGGAGACCGTTAGCAGCTGATGACAGTTCCTTTGAAGTTTCTGGAATGAGCTCGTTCGAATGGACTATGAGCTGGGCGATTTGAGAAGACAGCTCTAGTTCGAGTTCCCGATGGATTGAATCGAAAGGTGCTCCGAGATTCTTCAGTGGATTGAACGACTTCGACAGTCTGTTCTCCTTCACCACTTGACCGATCCACGGACTGTCGACATCGGTGAACAGTTGGTTGATGTCGCCTGCTCCTTCCGTCCATCCGGCAGTGTGCTTCGGCGACTGTGTCTCTCCGGCAACACTCTGCGCGTCGATCAGTTTCTTGACAAAGTCCAACAGAGGCTGAACTTCTTTCATCTGTCGCGTGGTGTTGAACAGAAGATCGAAGTTATCGCTGATTGATTGTAAGTCGGCCGTATCTTTCGAAGTATGACCCGTTTCAGTTTCAATTTTTTGGAACTTTTCGTAGCCGGCGACCGCTTTCATGATTGGTCCCATTGCTGACGTGGCATTCTCAATTCGAGCAAACTTCAGAACTTTTGAGCTTTCAGACATGATCGTTCCGGCCATAGAAATCAACTTGTCGACTGCTTCTTTGATATTCGGAAAACAATAGTTTGCGTTCGTTGTGGAGCATTGATTGGCAATAAGCAAATCCCGAAATGCTTTATAATTCGCGAAGGCACTGTCCAGATCGACGACGAACGTCAAGTTGAGTCCATTCCGAGCCATCGCCTCGACGTCCGACTTGAAAACAGAACTGTCCCAATTTCCGACGTCGCCACTTCCCTCCACGTCTTTCCGCAACGAATCCAGCAATTTCAGCACCCCGTCCATCCTCGCCGTGTCTTTCAGTTTCGTCGGCAGATCCTGAAGTGCCTGGAGTGCGTCCGTCAGATTCTTCTTGTCCATTCCGATGATGTGATTGGGAGTGACCGTTCCCATCCGAAGCAGGTCCGAAATGAGCTCATCGGCCGGGATGGTCCCCTCGATAAGCCCTCGTTGCACGTAGATTGCAGTGGCGATTCTGGCAATCACTTGCATCTCTCTCATCGATGTCTCGAAGGCTTCGTCTGCAGAAAGACAATTGAATTTGGGAAAACTGATCGGAGATGACTCACCTTGAGAAACGGCTCGAACAGGGCGAGAGACATTGTCGCCGCAGAAGTAGCGAGTGCAGTGTTTGAGACATGACGAGAAAGAAACTGAAATGTGCTAATTTTTTATGGAGCTACGAACTCATTCACTTACATTCAGCACCATTGAGTAATTTGGTGTGAGTCTGATACCCGATGGATTCGTCTCGATCGACGTACAAAATGCTTGCTCCAAAAGCAGTGAAGAGGCAGAAAGCAAAAAGCACTGAAATTTCATTACTGGATTCATCTGAAATTCTGTGAAAAACTCACTGAGATTTTGCATTTTCTCTTTTATTTCCTTTCTCTTTTATTTTCTTTTTTATATTTCCTGCGCGAGAAAGCGATAACAAAATGGAGTAGGGTACCACGTGGCGAGGTTAGTTCACGGACGTGGTCTAGAAAAATGCCCAGTCTTTGGAAGTTTCTATCAGCAAGGATGTCTAATTGCCAGAATGGAAGAGTTTTTGCACCTGAAATTCCTCGGCCACAACTTTGAAATGTTCTGCTTATTGGTATTTCTGCGACTTGAGATGCGAACAGTGTACTTCCAACTTCTAAAACTGTCACATAAGGTGGATACTCAACTATAAATCAAATAAAATCTTCATTCGAATCGCACAAGTAAATAGTTCACATAATCACACACATCGTCCGTTTCACCTCCGGGACGATCACTTTGTGATAGACAGGCGGCACTTCGTCACTGCTCGGTATGTCCCCTGTTCAAAATAACTTTTAAACTGTTTCCCACAGCCAAACGCGCTCCACTCAGTGTTCTGCACAATTTTTACGTTCGATGCCACACTTTTACCTCAAATTTTGACTGCTTCTCCCTTCTTTTTCCTTTTCCGACGACCTTTTGTCGGTTTCATCGCGACGTACCTCTCTTTTGTGAAATTTAGAACGTCGCGCTCGCGATCGAAACTATTTCCAAACGGAGACTTCCACGAGCTCTTTTCATGCTATTCCCCCGACTTCTCTCACTTCTCGACGAGGAGAACAGTTTCTCTGCGAAAAATGCATGTTTCCCTGAACTCCGAGAGCGCGGAGTCTTATTTCCTTCCGTTCTCTCGAATCTCGGCGCTCTCGCCGATCAGAATTGGAACGGAGCTGTCATTTCATCGAGAGACTGCGATAAAAACGAGCGGCTTCGTGGAATCAGTCGGCCGCCGACTTCCACGAGCTCTTTTCATGCTATTCCCCCGACTGCTCTCACTTCTCGACGAGGAGAACAGTTTCTCTGCAAAAAATGCATGTTTCCCTGAACTCCGAGAGCGCGGAGTCTTATTTCCTTCCGTTCTCTCGAATCTCGGCGCTCTCGCCGATCAGAATTGGAACGGAGCTGTCATTTCATCGAGAGACTGCGATAAAAACGAGCGGCTTCGTGGAATCAGTCGGCCGCCAACTTCCACGAGCTCTTTTCATGCTATTCCCCCGACTTCTCTCACTTCTCGACGAGGAGAACAGTTTCTCTGCGAAAAATGCATGTTTCCCTGAACTCCGAGAGCGCGGAGTCTTATTTCCTTCCGTTCTCTCGAATCTCGGCGCTCTCGCCGATCAGAATTGGAACGGAGCTGTCATTTCATCGAGAGACTGCGATAAAAACGAGCGGCTTCGTGGAATCAGTCGGCCGCCGACTTCCACGAGCTCTTTTCATGCTATTCCCCCGACTGCTCTCACTTCTCGACGAGGAGAACAGTTTCTCTGCAAAAAATGCATGTTTCCCTGAACTCCGAGAGCGCGGAGTCTTATTTCCTTCCGTTCTCTCGAATCTCGGCGCTCTCGCCGATCAGAATTGTAACGGAGCTGTCATTTCATCGAGAGACTGCGTCAAAAACGAGCGGCTTCGTGGAATCAGTCGGCCGCCGACTTCCACGAGCTCTTTTCATGCTATTCCCCCGACTGCTCTCACTTCTCGACGAGGAGAACAGTTTCTCTGCGAAAAATGCATGTTTCCCTGAACTCCGAGAGCGCGGAGTCTTATTTCCTTCCGCTCTCTCGAATCTTGGCGCTCTCGCCGATCAGAATTGTAACGGAGCTGTCATTTCATCGAGAGACTGCGTCAAAAACGAGCGGCTTCGTGGAATCAGTTGGCCGCCGACTTCCACGAGCTCTTTTGATGCTATTCCCCCGACTGCTCTCACTTCTCGACGAGGGGAACAGTTTCTCTGCGAAAAATGCATGTTTCCCTGAACTCCGAGAGCGCGGAGTCTTATTTCCTTCCGTTCTCTCGAATCTTGGCGCTCTCGTCGATCAGAATTGTAACGGAGCTGTCATTTCATCGAGAGACTGCGTCAAAAACGAGCGGCTTCGTGGAATCAGTTGGCCGCCGACTTCCACGAGCTCTTTTCATGCTATTCCCCCGACTGCTCTCACTTCTCGACGAGGAGAACAGTTTCTCTGCAAAAAATGCATGTTTCCCTGAACTCCGAGAGCGCGGAGTCTTATTTCCTTCCGTTCTCTCGAATCTCGGCGCTCTCGCCGATCAGAATTGTAACGGAGCTGTCATTTCATCGAGAGACTGCGTCAAAAACGAGCGGCTTCGTGGAATCAGTTGGCCGCCGACTTCCACGAGCTCTTTTGATGCTATTCCCCCGACTGCTCTCACTTCTCGACGAGGGGAACAGTTTCTCTGCGAAAAATGCATGTTTCCCTGAACTCCGAGAGCGCGGAGTCTTATTTCCTTCCGTTCTCTCGAATCTCGGCGCTCTCGCCGATCAGAATTGTAACGGAGCTGTCATTTCATCGAGAGACTGCGTCAAAAACGAGCGGCTTCGTGGAATCAGTTGGCCGCCGACTTCCACGAGCTCTTTTCATGCTATTCCCCCGACTGCTCTCACTTCTCGACGAGGAGAACAGTTTCTCTGCGAAAAATGCATGTTTCCCTGAACTCCGAGAGCGCGGAGTCTTATTTCCTTCCGCTCTCTCGAATCTTGGCGCTCTCGCCGATCAGAATTGTAACGGAGCTGTCATTTCATCGAGAGACTGCGTCAAAAACGAGCGGCTTCGTGGAATCAGTTGGCCGCCGACTTCCACGAGCTCTTTTGATGCTATTCCCCCGACTGCTCTCACTTCTCGACGAGGGGAACAGTTTCTCTGCGAAAAAAATGCATGTTTCCCTGAACTCCGAGAGCGCGGAGTCTTATTTCCTTCCGTTCTCTCGAATCTTGGCGCTCTCGTCGATCAGAATTGTAACGGAGCTGTCATTTCATCGAGAGACTGCGTCAAAAACGAGCGGCTTCGTGGAATCAGTTGGCCGCCGACTTCCACGAGCTCTTTTGATGCTATTCCCCCGACTGCTCTCACTTCTCGACGAGGGGAACAGTTTCTCTGCAAAAAATGCATGTTTCCCTGAACTCCGAGAGCGCGGAGTCTTATTTCCTTCCGTTCTCTCGAATCTCGGCGCTCTCGCCGATCAGAATTGTAACGGAGCTGTCATTTCATCGAGAGACTGCGTCAAAAACGAGCGGCTTCGTGGAATCAGTTGGCCGCCGACTTCCACGAGCTCTTTTGATGCTATTCCCCCGACTGCTCTCACTTCTCGACGAGGGGGAACAGTTTCTCTGCGAAAAAAATGCATGTTTCCCTGAACTCCGAGAGCGCGGAGTCTTATTTCCTTCCGTTCTCTCGAATCTCGGCGCTCTCGCCGATCAGAATTGTAACGGAGCTGTCATTTCATCGAGAGACTGCGTCAAAAACGAGCGGCTTCGTGGAATCAGTTGGCCGCCGACTTCCACGAGCTCTTTTCATGCTATTCCCCCGACTGCTCTCACTTCTCGACGAGGAGAACAGTTTCTCTGCGAAAAATGCATGTTTCCCTGAACTCCGAGAGCGCGGAGTCTTATTTCCTTCCGCTCTCTCGAATCTTGGCGCTCTCGCCGATCAGAATTGTAACGGAGCTGTCATTTCATCGAGAGACTGCGTCAAAAACGAGCGGCTTCGTGGAATCAGTTGGCCGCCGACTTCCACGAGCTCTTTTGATGCTATTCCCCGACTGCTCTCACTTCTCGACGAGGGGAACAGTTTCTCTGCGAAAAAAATGCATGTTTCCCTGAACTCCGAGAGCGCGGAGTCTTATTTCCTTCCGTTCTCTCGAATCTTGGCGCTCTCGTCGATCAGAATTGTAACGGAGCTGTCATTTCATCGAGAGACTGCGTCAAAAACGAGCGGCTTCGTGGAATCAGTTGGCCGCCGACTTCCACGAGCTCTTTTCATGCTATTCCCCCGACTGCTCTCACTTCTCGACGAGGGAGAACAGTTTCTCTGCAAAAAAATGCATGTTTCCCTGAACTCCGAGAGCGCGGAGTCTTATTTCCTTCCGTTCTCTCGAATCTCGGCGCTCTCGCCGATCAGAATTGTAACGGAGCTGTCATTTCATCGAGAGACTGCGTCAAAACGAGCGGCTTCGTGGAATCAGTCGGCCGCCGACTTCCACGAGCTCTTTTCATGCTATTCCCCCGACTGCTCTCACTTCTCGACGAGGGGAACAGTTTCTCTGCGAAAAAAATGCATGTTTCCCTGAACTCCGAGAGCGCGGAGTCTTATTTCCTTCCGCTCTCTCGAATCTTGGCGCTCTCGTCGATCAGAATTGTAACGGAGCTGTCATTTCATCGAGAGACTGCGTCAAAAACGAGCGGCTTCGTGGAATCAGTTGGCCGCCGACTTCCACGAGCTCTTTTGATGCTATTCCCCGACTGCTCTCACTTCTCGACGAGGGGAACAGTTTCTCTGCGAAAAATGCATGTTTCCCTGAACTCCGAGAGCGCGGAGTCTTATTTCCTTCCGCTCTCTCGAATCTTGGCGCTCTCGTCGATCAGAATTGTAACGGAGCTGTCATTTCATCGAGAGACTGCGTCAAAAACGAGCGGCTTCGTGGAATCAGTTGGCCGCCGACTTCCACGAGCTCTTTTCATGCTATTCCCCCGACTGCTCTCACTTCTCGACGAGGAGAACAGTTTCTCTGCAAAAAATGCATGTTTCCCTGAACTCCGAGAGCGCGGAGTCTTATTTCCTTCCGTTCTCTCGAATCTTGGCGCTCTCGCCGATCAGAATTGTAACGGAGCTGTCATTTCATCGAGAGACTGCGTCAAAAACGAGCGGCTTCGTGGAATCAGTTGGCCGCCGACTTCCACGAGCTCTTTTCATGCTATTCCCCCGACTGCTCTCACTTCTCGACGAGGGGAACAGTTTCTCTGCGAAAAAAATGCATGTTTCCCTGAACTCCGAGAGCGCGGAGTCTTATTTCCTTCCGCTCTCTCGAATCTTGGCGCTCTCGTCGATCAG